GTTCTTCATTTTTGTCTGCCATCTGACACATTCTCTGTCAATTTCTTGAGTTCCTCAACTCCAATTACTTTCATCCCATATGTTACAGCTCAGCTTGTTTTGAGGCAAATCTTAATTAGGATGAAAAGATTATTTTCCACATAATATAATCCACCCATTGGCTATGCCATTTAAGTAGAAGCTGCACCTGCCTGACTTAGGTCAGCATCTGTTTCCCCAGCCTGTTCTAAAGCCTGTGCTTACCAAGAACCTCATCTAACCAAAGGGATCTTGCTTTCGAGATAGTAGCCACATTATCTACTGTAACCCATTAAGGTCAAAATCAAAATGAAAAACAGTGATTTAGAAAACCGTATCTTCCTATTGAGTCCCAATTTCTAGTCCTTGTCTATTATTCAATATTTCCAAACAACTCATAAAGAAACTGTGATTTCAACCAATCAATAAATGACCTGCCTTTCTTCCTTTCCCAATTTCTTAAGGAGAGCCTAAATTAGAAATCAAAACATCATTTTATGAAGGATCTAAATTAGAGCCTGTGACTTGAATTTAAGGGCTTCCTGATATGACCTCCTAGACAACCCAACCTATCAAATTACAAATTCACAACTCTAAATGGAATGAAGGTGAAAATAAAATTAAAGTGAGGTAAAGAGCATATGGATAGTGAAAAACTGGAGATGGAAAAAAAACTAAATTATTACACAGCTGAACTCAGAAAAGGAGTAGAGAAATGTAGCCATAGCCAAAGGGGATGCCAGATCAATGGAACAATATATTTTAGGGAAAGTGGTGGGATCTGTTTACATATTCATGGAACAAATCAAGGGAGGAGGAAAGACTGAGAATGTAGGAAAATTATGTTGATCAAAAAAGGTGCTGGTCCCTTTAGAGTCAGCAGATGGAATTTAGGGCACAGTGGAGAGATTGGCTTCATAGTAACAGGTGGAACATAACATGGATGGGGGCAAATGAACTTAGGTTTCTAGATTTAGATATGGGCAGATGGAGTTTTCATTCTGTATTTCCATTTTCTGAATGAAAAATGAAGTGAGGTATTCAGCTAAGAATGAGAGGGTGGGAGGTGTGAGAGTAGACAAAGCTTCAAATTAAAATCTTGCTCAGTAGGGAAGCACAGTTACTGAGGAAACCATTTCTGAGTAGTACTGAAGGCCCATTTGAGGTGTGTGATAATTAACTTGAAACCCAGGGGATAGTCTTTTCAATAAATGGTGCTGGCAAAACTGACATAAATCTGTAGAATATTGAGATTGGATCCCTAACCATCACCATACACAAAAATAAACTCAAGATGGATCAAATATCTAAATTTCAGACCTGAAACTATGAAACTACCCAAAGAAATTATAGGGGAAACACTTCAAGATATTGGTGTAGGTGATAACTTCTTGGATAAGACTCCCAAAAATCAGGCAACAAAAGAAAAGCTAGAGAAATGGGATTATTTTAAATTCAGAAGCTTCTGTACAGCAAAGGAAACGATAGATTGAAAAGACATCTGACAGAATAGGAAAAAATATTTGCAGACTACTTATATGCAAAGTATTAGTATGCAGAATATATCAGCAACTCAAATACTCAACAACAAAGGAACAACCAGTTAAGAGATGAGCAAAGAATATTCTGAAAAGACAGTTCTCAAAAGAAGAAATACACATGGTCAACAAATATATGAAAAAAATACTCAATATCACAAGCCATCAGTAAAATGCAAGACAAAAGCCTAACAAGATATTACATAACCCCTGTCAGAATGGCTATTATCCAAAAGGCAGAGAGCAACAAATGCTAGCAAGGATGTGGAGAAATGAGAACACTTGGACACTGTTGGTGGGAATGTAAACTAGTACAGCAACTATTGAAAACAGTATGGGGATTTCTTGAAAAACTAGAAACTGAATGTCCATATGATCCAGTACTGGGCATATACCCCAGAGATATGAACTCGTACTGATGTGGGAAAAGTCACATGTACCACTACTACCATGTACTACTCCACCCACATATAATCCTATCATCAGTCAGATGATCCCTCAGCAAGGTGTACCTCCCCTTACCTGGAACCTGTGAGCAGTACTATGTAACCACTCCCCTTTTTGAAGCTCATAAGAACCCCACAGAAGGGGAGAGGGCTCTCTTTCTCTCATGGACCCAGGAGGAGCAGAGCAGGGTATGAAATTCTTTTTATTTTTCCTGGCCCACTCACCCTAAATGAAGCCCTCACATGCCTGTATATTATTCTCACTTTCTGAATAAACCTTATCATGCTGCATGTCGTGTGTGTGCTTATACCTAGAATTCTCTCAGTAAAAGGCAAGAAACTGGGATATTAATTTTGGCCCAACATAGCCCACAACAGTATTGAATACCTGCTCAACCATGTTTTATAGCAACACTGTTTATAATAACCAAAATATGGAGTCAACCACTATCTCCATCATCAGATGAATGGATAAAGAAAATGTGAAATATTATTCAGCTATAAAAAAGAATGAAATTCTATCATTTATAGTAGAATGTTTGCAACTGGAAGACATCATGATGAGTGTAATAAGCCAGAAAGAGAAAGAAAAATAAAAGTTTTCCCTTATATGTAGAAGCTAAGATTAAAACAAGGAGTTCAATCTGAACACAGAATGTCAACTATTGTGGTTCATTTATTGTGACAAATATACTTAAATGAGATGTTAATAGAGGAAATTGGGTGAGGAATATGTAGGAACTCACTGAAGTACTATCTCACAATTTTTGTTTTAAATTTAAAATTAATAGTGAAGGAGCCGGCGCTGTGGCACCACAGGTTAAAGCACTGGCATGAAATGCTGGCATCCCTTATGGGTGCCGGTTCTAGTCCCAGCTGCTCCTCTTCCAATCCAGCTCTCTGCTAGGGCCTGGGAAAGCAGTGGAAGATGGCCCAAGTCCTTGGGCCTCTGCACCTGCGTGAGAGACCCAGAAGAAGCTCCTGGCTCCTGGCTTTGGATCAGCACAGCTCCGGCCGTTGCAGCCATCTGGGAGTGAATCAGTGGATGGAAGACCTCTCTCTGCCTCGACCTCTCTCTGTAACTCTTTCAAATAAATAAAATAAAAGATTTTTAAAAAATTAATAAAAAAGGAAAAAAATTAAAAAAAGAAATCCATCTTTCCAAACCAGTAAAATTCCCCAGCAATATTCAGATGATCATGGAGAACCGAGAAGAAGCTTTGTGGACTCAGCTAAATGTGAGCTATGGCAGGTCAAGATGGAGGAGGAATGGAGGACTACAGGAGTAGAAAGCATTTGCAAAAGTGTGATTTGATTTAGTCAGCAGCAATTGTCATACGAGAAAATCTTGTCAAAAAAAACAAGCTGGCCGGCGCCGCAGCTCACTAAGCTAACCCTCCGCCTGCGGCACTGGCACCCTGGGTTCTAGTCCAGATTGGGGTGCCAGATTCCGTCCCGGTTGCTCCTCTTCCAGTCCAGCTCTCTGCTGTGGCCTGGGAAGGCAGTGGAGGATGACCCAAGTGCTTGAGCCCTACACCCCATGGGAGACCAGGAGAAGCACCTGGCTCCTGGCTTCGGATCAGTGCAGCGCGCCGGCCATAGCAGCCATTTGGAGAGTGAACCAAGGGAAAGGAAGACCTTTTTCTCTGTCTCTTTCTCACTGTCTAACTCTGCCTCTCAAAATAAATAAATAAATAAATAAATAACAAGATAAGTAGTAGGGAGATAGAGGTGCTGACCACAATCTAGGGATTCTGTGCAGATGTTTTTCTTTAGATCTTTTCTTTTCTTTTCTTTTCTTTACATTGTTCTTGCAACAAACAAACAAAACTCAGGTAACATGTATTTAATACTTAATCAGGCCGGCGCCGCGGCTCAATAGGGTTCTAGTCCAACTGGGTTCTAGTCCCGGTCGGAGTGCCGGATTCTGTCCCAGTTGCCCCTCTTCCAGGCCAGCTCTCTGCTATGGCCCAGGAGTGCAGTGGAGGATGGCCCAAGAGCTTGGGCCCTGCACCCGCATGGGAGACCAGGGGAAACACTTGGCTCCTGGCTTCGGATCAGCGCGGTGCGCCGGCCACAGCGCACCGGCCGCAGCGCACCGGCCGCAGCAGCCACTGAGGGGTGAACCAACGGAAAAGGAAGACCTTTCTCTCTGTCTTTCTCTTTCGCTGTCCACTCTGCCTATCAAAAAAAAAAAAAAAAATACTTAATCATAGGTCAACTACTATGCTGGGCACTTTTTAAAACAATTACTTCACTTCTGCTTACATCAATACTGTGAGGAAATTGCTTTTATTTTTATTTATCCCGTTTGCAGATGAGGAAAAAGCATACTAAGAAGTTAAGCAATCCAGGGAGTTAACTGTATCACTTTTGGAATTACTGAATTTATAGACCCTTGTTTCTATAGATTAAAAATCATTATCCCTTGGGGAAATTTTTGAATATTTTCCACAACAATATTTCAAATTTCCCACTTTCACTTTAACAAACATGCTTTATTTGGAGATCTTTCAGGAAGAAGACCTTCAAACTCTGCTATGAAGCTGAGTGAAATTATTATTCTAAATTATCTATGTTCACAAATATAACAGTCTTGTCTGCTCAATTAATGATTAAGACTGTACAAACAGGTAAACAATAACTGTAGTCCCCTTCCTTCCTAAACTCCCTGTGGATATTAACACGCTGAGGAAAATATTTATGCCTTACTTAACGCTTTCTACTTAAGAGAAACAATCTGAATTTCTAAATTCAGGCCTGGAAAATAAACAGAAGTTTCCCCTCCTAAATTCCTTTTCCTTCCTTCCTTACTAATCCAACCAAGATAATTGCTCTGTCCTAGAAAATGCTCAGTGACTACCAGATACTATTGTTTTATCCCAGATTAGAAACTAGATTTCAAGAGGCACCACTTCCTATTCCTGGGGGGGAAAATCACAAAATTAAGGAGCATTGAGTGATTTCAGATTCTAAGGCAAGGGTGAAGGTCACTTACATTTCTGTTGCAGAAAATTTGATAGGAAACTGGCGAGAATTCTCTTGTTACCTGAAAAAAACAGAAATCTAAAGTTGAATTATGCAAAAATCTTTTGACTACTTGCATTTTTCAAGACTACATTATATTTGAATATGTTCAACTCTCACCACCTGGAAAGACACACCCAGGTAAGAAAAATAAAAAATGAACAGTGCTTTTCTAACAGCAAAATGGATTGTTCTTGCATGACTTTGTAGCCAGATTCGTAATAGCCTCATTTGCTTAGGATTCACTACATTATAAGTCAGAGATTCTCAATCTTGGTTCCTATCAGAATCATTAGGAAACTTTTTTCAAAGTTTTTTTTTTGTTTCACATTAATTTTAGACTTATGTGAGAGTAATAAAAATAGTGCCTTACTCCAGCTCTCTGCTGTGGCTGGGGAGGGCAGTGGAGGATGGCCCAGGTGTTTGGGCTCCTGCACCCACGTGGGAGACCGCGAGGAGGCGCCTGGTTCCTGGCTTTGGATCAGCGCAGTGCCGGCCGTGGCGGCTATTTGGGGAGTGAACCAACAGAGGGAAGACCTTTCTCTCTGTCTCTCTCTCTCTCACTGTCTATGACTCTACCTGTCAAATAAATAAATAAATAAATAGTGCCTTACATGACTATCGTGTAACTATCAGAATCAAGTAATAGCACCAGTACAATGTTAACTACCTTATAGATCCTATTAGAATTTTACTAGTTGTCTGATGTTCTATTTAAAAACTTCATAGTTCTTCTTCATACCAATCTGAGATAGTTCCTCAGTGTTTCCTTGCCTTTCATAAGTTTGACTGTTTTGAATAAGACTGATAATTGTTTGTAGGATGTTCCTCAGTTTGGATTTTTCTGATTTTTTTGTTCATAACTAGAATGAAACAATGCATGTTTGTAGAATACCATAGAAATTATTTGCTCTTCTCCCTGTATCACATTAAAGAGTTCATAATATTGATATCTGATTCCAAGAGATGTTAACTTTGATAACTTTTTGAGGGTCATATCTAGTAAGCCCCTCCATAGTAAAGTTACTATTTGTCCTTTATAATAAATATATATGTTAAAGATAACACTTTAAAATTATATGAACCCTGTTTTTCCTCCAGCTTGTACCCAGTGATTTTATCATCCCTCAGTGGATCTTATCTACAATATTTCCTGTGATGTTGGTCTAACATTGAGTTTCTATTTCTCTCTTTCCTTCTACACTTACCATTTATAATCTACAAATTAGGAGGCCAAACTGAGATTTTCAAGTCTAGGAAAAAAGTGCTGCTACCTTGCCCTTACCAAAGATAAATTAAATGAAAAATTAGTAAGCATATTATCACTTGTCCTTACAGTAAGGCTAATAAGTAGGTACTATTATTTGCCTTTAAATATCAGGATATATGATACTCAGAATAATAAGTTACTACTTTAGATCTACTGACTACTTAGTAAAGTCAAAAAAACAGAGATTCCAAGTTGTCCTATTTCTTTAACTCTTGTTCTTTCAGCCATCCCATCCTCCTACCTTTTAAGTTCAGATCACCCTTTCTGATGTTAAAATTTACTCCATTTAAATCCTACCTCTCTACTAATTCCAGTCATCTGTAATTTTGCCTATATCATTCCAGGGTTAGACATATCTTTTCTCTCACCATTTTGACAACTATCTTTCTGCTCCCCAGAATAACTCTCAGGAAGGGTGTTATATGTATATACCATGAGGATGAGGAATTTTGTCTATTGTGGTTATTTCTATATTCCAAAAACACTGCCTGGTATATAGTAACTGTTCCATGATACTTGGATTAACAGATAAATGGAGACACTAATAAATTCAAAGCTTGGCTCCTTAACAAGGACAGTATGTGCTGTTACTTGCACATCTTCTCTTTCTGAGAAGAGCAAACACTGATTTTTTTCAGGCCTGTGGAAGGGAGCCTGGGTGTCCTACCAGTTCTTCTTCTTTTTCTTTTCCACACTAAGCATTCAGTATTTCTCTAAATACTTGTTGAACAAATAAAGAATAATTAAATTTAAAAGCCGATCCAATAATAAACCTGCTCAGAATGGATATGTACAAATACACTAGACCTTGGCTGTATGTCATTGAAAATTATATATGTACTAAGAAAATCAGTCATTGCTTACCCAACTATGAAAATTCAAGTAAGTAGCCTGCAGCAAAGATTGGAAGTTGCTTTTTTTCTTTCTTCATGCTTAATAAGAAAACACTGCCAAGCTAAACAACTGTATTTCCTAACCATGTTTATAAATAGAGGTGGACATTGAGAGATAAGAGTCCTTTAGGAAACTCTTTTTATTCTTTGATTTATTATTCCTATTTATTTATTTGACTGTCAGAGTTACAGAGAAAGAGAAGGACAGAGAGAGATCTTCCACCTGCTGGTTCACTCCACAAACGGCCATTACAGCTGGATCTGGGTCATCTGCAGCTGGGATCCCGGAGCCTCCATCAGGACTTCCACATGGGCACAAGAGCCCAAGCACCTGGACCATCATCTGCTGCTTTTCCAGGCACACCAGCAGGGAGCTGGATTGGAAGTGGAGCAGTTGAGATCTAAACTGGAACCCTTATGGGAATGTTGGCGCTGCAGGCAGTGGCTTTACCCACTACAACACAGTGAAGGCACCTATTATTCCTTCTTGAAATGAAGACATGGCAAAAGCTCCAAGAGTCATTTTGTGATGCTGACAATGGTATAACAGAAAGATATTGGAAGACTGGGTCTCTCATGATTTTCTGGAGCTGCCATTACAGCTCTGAAGTTTCTATCTACAGCTTTGAATTGTGAGGCAGGATAACAAATTTCTATTTTGTTTAAGTGACTACAGACAGGTCAGTAGAAAATGCAATTTCAGTGTCCTGCCATTAGATGAAGTGTCTGTATAGTTGAATCAGTAGAAGTTAATTATGTGTCCTTTGCAGAAAGGTAGCAATTAGAGTTTTTACTTTAGTGCTTTAAAATTATTAATATGGCAGGAGAAAATATTTAAAGAAATACTTATTATGAGAGCACTATTATCCACTGCAGGGTTAAATAACAGAGCTTGTACCACAGCAAGCGTTTTTATCAATAATTGGCACATTTTGATCTTGAAAAGAATCACAAAACCTCAAATCCAATTACTCATCTAATGTACAATTCTTTTCTAGAATATTAAGTAAGAAGTCATCCAGTTTATGCTTGGTTACATCAAGTGATGAATAACTCTCTACTTCCCACGCCAGCCCAATTTTATCTTTGGGCAGTTCTGAAAGTTAGAATGTTCTTCTTACAGTGAGCTGAAATCTGTTTTTTTTCTCACTTCCATCCACTCCTTCTAGTTCTGGGCTTCAGAGCCATATTCAGCATTTTCAATCCATGTTTTAAATCATAAACCTTCAATTACCTTGTTCCTCTTGAGATAGCTGTCCTTTCAGATTTTGATGACATGAAATCATTCTGAATATATGGAAATCTGCTTCTCCAGAATCCAGAGACATGTATGACTGACTATACTTAAGTGCTCTTTTCCTTGTTATTGCATACCTTGAGTGATATGGTCATGTCCTCTACAACCATGTAACTCCCTTCTTGCTATATATATATATATATATATATATATATTTCAAATACATGCACAAAGTAATTATTATTCCCAGTTGTTTTCAATTACTCTTAGAGATATATTTTGAAGCAAAGAACTTGTTAGATGTTGTACTATCAGACTTGTAGAGTTTCATTATACATTATCGAATTTTTGAAATTCCCCTTTATCTATAAATACTTTTTTCTATATATTATACCTGTTAAACTTACTTAAGTCAGAAATTAATAATTTATTTCTTATAGCAATCCATATGAGTTTAGTATATCTCCACATAATTACATCTATTCATTCTCCCTTCATTTATACCCCAATGATCTCTTGTAAATGCTACTCAGGGTCTTAGATTTCTGAGCAGACAAAAATCATATTGGCAAATATCACTGTGACTTTTCCCACTAAGCAAAATCTGTTTCTACTGAATTAGAAGTATTCTCCAATTTTCATATTTCAAACATACTGTACTCACTAAGCTTTAATGACACCAATGGTATACTTACCATCTGTGTTATGATGTCTAATTCACTTTGTTATCTGCTAAAATAAAATATGCAGAGTTTACAGGATGTAATAATAACCAAAATAAATGTAACCAAAAAGAGTTATTTTTAAAATGGAAAAGCTGAAATTGAAAGTTGTCGCTCCCCGTCTTCATGGGGGAACGACACTAAGCCCTGCCTAGGCTTCATATCCGAGTCACGGCACCATTATGTCGCTCCCCCTCTTCGTGGAGGAACGACACAGGACCCTGCGCTGTTCTTTCTGTCTGCTCGGCCCTCCCCGGGTTTGCTGCTGGTTCTTCCCGGGTTGGCTACTATCCCTTCCACCTCCGTGGAAGGGCAGTTCCCCCTGGCCACATTCCCCACTTCCGCAGGGGAGCGGCACACCGCCGGCCGGCTCTTCTCGGGGGCTGCACAGGTGTTCCTTCAGCTAGATGTTCCCCTTAGATGTTCCTGGTGCATGCCGTCTCTCTCCTCCTTTATAGTCCTCCTCCGCCAATCCCAACTCGGCTGCCCACACGCCGAGTACGCTGCTCTCCTCCAACCAGGAGCAAGTCCTACAGTTCATTGGCTGAACTGGAGGCAGCTGTGTAGAAGCTGTTTTCTTCTCTCCCAGCGCCATATTGTGGGAGAGCAGATGCATAGAATAAGTCTTAATTCCAGTAACTCAGTCTAGTCTGAATTGCTCCCCACAAAAGTCAACTAGCAAGGGCATTGTAACTTTAATCTGGGACAGATCTTGGCTTAACTCCTAAGGGCAGACATCCTGTAAGGAACCACTGTCATTCTGCTTTGCTTCCACACTGGTATTACATCCAAAAGGCAAAATGAAAATGGTCAGGAGCTGTAGTTACCCCAAGAGAGCAGAAGTAATTTTTCAGACTAGATTTTGGGGTATAAAGGTAGGTTCACAGTTTCAGAGAAGCACAGTTTCCCACTCACAATCTGCCTTTCAATTCATCTGTTCTATTACCAGCATCAAAAAATACAGTTAGAATATAGTTTAAACATTCAATCCCTCAACCAGGCTATCAGAGAGAGGAGAGTTCAAATGCTGACATGCTGGATTACAGGAAAGGCTGAGAAATGCTGACATGCTGGATTACAGGAAAGGCTGAGAATGACAACAGTGATCTGTCAGCTTGTCACCTAAAAACTATGACACAGGATGGGATCACCAGATGAGAGCCAGATTATCTGATTGTTAGAGACAGATGTGGCTAGAAAGGGTTGACTAAATAGGAGGCTATGCAAATGCATATTTGAAATTTAGATAGTCTCCACAAACTGTGAGATTAGGCTTTCCTCCTCTAAATGCTTAAGAAAATATTGTGAAGTGTTTGTACTCTGAAATAGTCATTTCTTCTTGTCCCAATAAATTTCATTCTCACAAAATGAAAAGATGAGTTTGATCTATGAACATACCCATGTCCTTTGCTGTTATTTCAGTATTGTCTTATTTTGCTTTTAATTAAAATATACATACATACATAAGTCAAATGACCAGTGTACTGGGTTAAGCAACTGCCTGTAACATCAGCATCCCATATGGACACCACGAGTCCCAGATGCTCTGCCTCCAAACCAGCTCCCTGTTAAACTCCCTGGGAAAGCAGCAGAAGATGGCCTAAGTGCTAGGGTCCCTTCAGTCCATGTAAGAGTCCAGATGAAGCTCCTGAATCCTGGTTTTGATTTGGCCCAGCCTCGGCCATTGTGACCATTTATGGATTTAACCAGCAGGTGGAAAATATTTCTGTCTCTTTCTCTCTCTGTAACTATTGACTTTCAAATAAATAAATAATATTTTTAAAAACCAAGAAGTTAGTAGGATATAATTTGGTATTCTTCCCCCTATGATATACAGTAAATAATTGCTTGAACTACACAATCATTGTATTAAAGCTGACTTATTTTTCTTACTAGCTCTACTGTCAGGTGTTGCATTTTCCATGCAAGAGTAAGCATAAGCTTCTGTGTTCAAGGTTCCCAAGAGGAGTAGAAAAGATAAAACATACACAAGTATATCTAATATGTACTCTGTACAGTGCTGTGTGCCTTAAGAGAGATGGATAGAGAGCACCAGATGTTTGGAAAAAGAAGGAATTAATTCCAAAATAAAGAGAACCACAAGCAAGGCAGGTAATGGTGAAACAACAGGGTTCAAACATGGGCATAGTGAGGGCTGATCTCCATTTTATTGCGTTGACTTAGCCACATCATTTCACTGTACATTAGTTTCCTCAACCATTAAATGAGAAAGAAAAAACATTCTTGCCCAAAGTACTCAGATCCTCGGGAGATGGCTCTGAGACGAACACATCAACAGACAGATCCTCAACCAAGCAAAAACATTGTATTGTTCATGGAAAGCTTCACAGCGGTCAGAAGAGAGCAGAAGTGGCACCGCTCTCCTCTACAGCCAGCCTCCAGATCCTACACCTTTAGGACAGTCTCACAAACTGGGGGCTCACGCGAGAGGAGGAAGGTAGGTGCTCACGTGCGGCCCTCTTAGAAGAAGGTAAATTTGTGTTAGTAAACTATGAAATAACCTGTCATACCTCATTATCGTTCTTTTCAAACATCCTTTATTCCCCTAAAATATTAAATAAATAAACAGAAAAATGTCTTCAAGGTTGTGTAACAACAGATCTTTCAAGGCTATTTTGTGGCTAAATAAATCAAACAAAAGTGAAAATATTGCCATTCAAACAAAGTTTTTTTTCTCTTTGAGTATCAGTGGTCATATAAATTCAGGCTTCACCCTTTATAAACTTGAATATTGAGCTAATCCTCTTCACCCAATGCATTTTTAATACACAGAGAGATAAAATTTGGTAAATTCATGACAATTAAATGAATAACAAGCAACAGGTATTAATACAGTACAGACAGCAAAAGGTATGAAACAAACCAAAAATGTGGAAGAAGTGAAGGAATTCCGTTGTTTATGAGTACTTCAAAACCTTGTGGAAAACATAGCTAAATGTGACCTTCTGTTGATGCAAAAAAAAATTGAAGTCCATGTATATATTTTTCAAACTACACATTTTTCATAAACTTTTTGAGATACATTCACAGTCTATGAATTAAATTGTTAAAATGATTCTTAATATTATAGCTTATATTTCAAAAACTGTCTTCATGCAACAGATTATTGATAAATCTGAAAATTCAGTATTACTTTCCCAAGGATTCTTTTCGTTCATATATTATTCCTATAAAATTATATAGATGGAAGAGTTACCTGAAAGAATAGCACTTCTGAAAATAAGAAAAAGAGAGAGGACCTGAAAGGAAGAAAATCCCATTGAATAATCCTAAAATATATCATCTCAAAATGTTTTAGAAGGATGGGTAGGAGGGGGACACAGGGAGATCAGATACCAGGTAACAAAAAGGTTAGGAAGAATGCATTCTACATTCTTACAGCACACTAGAGTGGCTACAGTTTACAATAATTCACTACGTATTTTACAGAGAACTAGAAGAGTTCAAAGGTTCTTTATTCAAATAAATAATAAGTATTTGAGATGGAATTGCTAAGTATTCTGATTTGATTATTATACATTGTACACATGTATTGAATTATCCTGCAAACACAATAAAAAGAAATATAATAATTTTGAAGGAAAAAAGGTCTGCACAGGTGCTTTAAACTAGAGCTTAAAAAGCATGCAGATTTACAACATTCAGATTTCCATATTTTTAAACATTATCCATGCATGCATTTCTGGCAGTATTCTTCTGTGCTAACTGATTATTGACTAGGTAACTGTCTCCTTCTTCTTTCCTCCTTCTTCCTTTTTTCTCCCTCCCTCCCCTCCTTTTTATAATGAAGAAAGTAAGAGGAAACGAAGTTAAATAACTGTCTTAACTCATACTGAATAATGATAAAATATTGAACATATAAAAATAGAAATTTCAAATGTGTTAGAAAGATCATGTTTGGCCAATTTAAAATAAAAAGAAACAGGGGCCTGCACTATGGCATAGTATGTTAAGCCTCCACCTGCCCGGCATTCCATATAGGCCCCTATTTGAGTCTCGGCAGCTCCACTCCTGATCCAGCTTTCTGCTTATGGCCTGAGAATGCAATGGAGGATGTCCCAGTGCTTGGGCTCCTGAACCCGCATGGGAGACCCAGAGGAAGCTCCTGGCTCCTGGCTTTGGATCAGCACTGCTCTGGCCATTGCAGCCATTTGGGGAGTGAAGCAGCAAATGGAAGACCTTTCTATTTTTCTCTAACTCTGCCTCTCAAATTATATATATATGAAACAGAACAAAAATTATATATATATATGAAACAGAACAAAAATTATCCTCAGCCTGGGTTTAAGCAACGCTTGCTTTTCTTTTGACCTTTATATACTTCAAAAGGCAGGGGAATTTGGGCACTTCAGGTTAATTTGGTCACTTCCGGATTCTAATCCAACATTTAAAGAACATGGAAGTCATGACTCCCATCATCACAAGATAAACAAACTGTAAATCAACAGCTTCTCCTGGATTCATTTGAAACCTGAGATCGCAAGTTGAACCACCTGCCCAGTGCTTGAGAAACCAGCAGATGGAGAGTTGAGAACCATTGCAGAAGGACCTCCACAAAAGCTCACCTGCAGGAAAAACCTCACTAGCACTTAAAGGGTGCTTGACTAATTGCAGAAGAGTGAGCATGAAATAGCTTAAGAAGTGAAAATCTCTTGAAGGTCAAGCCCTGGTGGTATCTCCACATTTTCATGGGTTACCTGGAGTAGCCTCACAAGGTTCTTACTGAGAAACTAGAGAAAAATATTCTTGTGTTCTGGTATGGACAGGGGAACAGCAACTTTTTGGAAAAATGCCCAAAGCATAGCCTGATAAACTTGGGTTTTACAGACCTAAGGGTCCCAGAAGGAGGAAAATACCTAACTCCAGTCACCTCCCACATTTCCTGTCGCATCTAGGATAGTAAATACAACACAACACAACACAACAAAGCTGAGAAACTCTTGTCACAGCCCAGGGGTACAGGATCACTGAAAGAATAAGATGTAATTGTAAAACTATAGCATGATTCCTAGACCCCCCTCGCTCAGGCGCATCTTATTAAACATATCATCAGGGTTCCTAAAATATAACAGATTACAGCTAAAAAAAAAAAAAAAAAAAAAGCCACAAAGCTCAGCCTCTACTTACAAAAGAGCCTGTAAGTAAACCCAAAGACAATAGAGAAGACAAAAAACAGGGAACACAGAAGAAATTTTAGACTCTGACATCTACAGCTGCGGCAAATGATAAGCACTCTAGCATTAGCGTCCCCACTACATAAAAGTCTATCATCAAATCATTGATAGACTTATGGCCAATCTAGACAATGACTTTGTTTGGCTTGGTTTCTAATTTCTGATGCTATCATCTCCCATCAAAATGCAGAGATCATGTAATATAATTTTTTTTTTTTTTTATTTTCTGGGGCCGGTGCCATGGCACACTAGGTTAATCCACTGCCTGAGGCGCCAGCATCCCATATGGGCGCTGGTTCTAGTCCTGGCTGCTCCTCTTCCTATCCAGCTCTCTGCTGTGGCCTGGGAAGGCAGTGGAAGATGGCCCAAGTGCTTGGGCCCATGCACCCACATGGGAGACCTGGAAGAAGCAGCCATTGTGGCCATTTGGGGAGTGAACCAATAGAAGGAAGACCTTTCTCTCTGTCTCTACCTCTCACTGTCTGTAACTCTAACTCTCAAATAAATAAATAAAAGCTTTAAAAATATTTTTAATTTTTAAATTTTTATTTCGGATATACAAATTTCACGTATTTCATACATACAAATTTAGGAACAATGTGATACTTCCCACGCTACTCTCCTGCCTGTGCTTCCACCCTCCCTCCTCCTTCCTCTCGTATTCCCTCTCATAATTTTTACAATGACCTATTCTGGTTCATGTTTGGAAAGGACTACTGGCAAGATGGTCTTTAAGTATGTTTTGAATTTTTTTTGAATTCCCAAGCATGTGGTAGATGTTAAAAGTGATTAAGTCCCCCCCCCCAAAATAGTAACTTTGAATTATTATATTCTTTTCTCCTTGATCTCCATTTGTAGCTCACAAACACTCTGACTGGAATCATGTTAGATATTCTCCACCAATAGTATCCACCAGTGGGGATGGATACACCGAAGGAAAGTACCATCACCAGTGGGAGGACAGTGTGAAATACAACACTGCTGATGACAGCTACTAGGTAACCTCCGAGAGTCATCAGAACCAGGGCCAGGCTCTCCAGAGTACCCAGAGCACCCACATCCCTAGCATCAGCTGTGCATATCCTTGATGGTACTATCCCTCAAGTTATTTCATTGTGTAACCTGTCCCCAAATATTTTCAACTATGCATCTACTAAACATGTGGTCTGAAGAAGCAGAGAGGAAAAGGGTAGACTAGAATGTGTGTGTGTGTGTCTCTGTGTAATTTTCCAGCCAAGAGCACAATATGTTTGAAAAATTGTATTTTTCATCTACCTGATTTCAATTTAGGTTGTTAATTGTCTGCAGCAGGTAAAATCAATATAGGAAGAAAGCACAGAACTTATTTAGTGCTCACTTTGCACTTGGCTTCAAGTTAAATTTAAATATTCTGCCTTTTCACTGTTTTTCAGAGGATCACATGAAACTCAGTTTTCTTCCATTTGCATAGAACAGGAAACACACCAGGGCAACAGCCTATGTCAGTATAATTCCTGGCTGTCCTTGACCTTTCTGGACACTTCCTAGAGAGGAATAGAGTGCTTTGCTCTGCCTCCACATAAAAGGTTCTGAGTAAGGGTTATGAGATAGAAGGTAAGAACTCTGTTCATATTTAACTAACTCCCTCTGGCCTCAGAATCAAAAACTGTGCCCTCATGGATCACTATTTTCTATTACCTTTGTCCAATATTAATACTGTTTCATGGTAAGCAATCATGAGATCTTCTGTTTCCTCCTAGAAGTCTTTTTAGGAAGACACAAAACATGTAGCAGTACAGTATATCCATTTTACCAATCTTCTCGGTTCTACATACCTTATAAAATGATTGCTACATTGCTCAAAAAAAAAAAAAAACAGGCATTCGACCTAAGCTATTTCTTAAAATAGATTTTTAAGGAACATGAAACATTGTCCTCCATAACACCTTTGTCTTACAAAAAAAAAAAAAAAGCCTGTCAGCATTCAATGCGATATATATACACATATATTATGATTTATTCACTTACCAAACTTTAGTGTGTGCCTGAAGACTCAAGTGATATTTATACATGTCCCTAGGAACTTAAAATGGTCAGAAATCTTTTCCACTTTAAAGATGAATAAACAAAGTTTTTATCTAAACTAGAAAATGAAATATAGTTCAAAAATGAGGTTCATTTTTTAAAAGTCAGCCTCAGGGACTGCCAGCCAAATCATTTCACTTACATTTTCACACAACAGCCACAAATGTTACCATTCTTCAGTACACATGGAATATAGAGACAGAAACAGATGATAGATAAGTAGATAGATAATCATGTAAGAAAATGCAAGCTTTGCTTTTATCTCACTTGAAATTTGTTGTGAATTTATACTGTTTTAATTGAAAAAATATTCAAAATACGTTTATTTTTCATGATTAAAAAAATCCTAAAATTCTCCTTAAATTAAGAAAGAAAAATAAACTGATCAGGCTGACTTTGTCCCCTTTCCTAAGGGTCTCCTGTCCATGACTTGGCATTAATATAGTGGTTGGGTGAGGGAACTCCGCATATCCGAAGGATAAAAGAAACTCCACCCAGACTGAGTGCCTAATGTACATACTGCACAATAGTATTTCTGAAGAGCAGTGAATCTGTACTCGGAGGTCAGCACATGCGTGCAGAGTGTCTGAATATTGGATTCTTTCCTTTTTAAAGATGAGCTGCTCTGATGGCTGGAGGTTTTCACTTCCCAGCTTCAACAGAGTCGTCACAAATGCAAACAGGGACTTTGCCTAGAGTCTCAATATAGATCAATTATTGCTGGCTGCCAAGAACCACAAGCGGGCTATGCTGTTTCCGTGATAAACCCCAGCACTCCCTCCCTCAGAGGCAAAAGAAACACACACACCAAATGCTACAGACTCAAACTGCTGTTAGTTCACCTTGATCAGTCTTTCCTAATGAAGCCCTTTCATTTTGCTTCCCACATTAAAACATTAAAAACCAAAAGATAATTTCAAATCTTGTTTTTCTTCATGAGGATATTATAAATTGCTAATTAGAAAAGATTTCTTTTACTAAATGATTTAGTTCTGATGTCTGTTTTAACACTTGAAAGGTTATAGCTTCAGGAAAAGAAGGAAGAGCCTTAATTAAGGAATGAATTATTGAATATTCAGTTTTAATTGATGTTGCCCCCATGCTATTATTTTGCATGTTTATAGATGCTTTCTGTGATTCTGTTATCAGAATAACCAAAGAGAGAGACATTGACTACTGAGCCTCAACAAGGGGAGGGTTTTCGCCTGATCACATTCAGCCATTTAATTTCAAGAAACATCTGAAGCGTGGTTCCCATGACAACAAGTCACTAATTGCAAACATAAAATAAAGTAAAAAATCAACCTTTCCTGAATTTGGCCGCTACATGGAGGATGTTTAATTAAAAAAAATAGAGAAATGGCATTTTTCCTTAGGGAATCACCTCAAGTCACTTCCTGACACCAAAAAGCAACTCCACCATAGGGTTAATTCTGGTCTGGCAAAGGTGTCAGCTTAAAGCTGTCCAGGTCTGTCAGGCTTTGATTGCCAAACCCTCTCCTGCTAGAGAGGAGGAGAGATGGCAACAATGAGGAGTGAAGGACTTTTATACCTTTGAGCTACAGAACAGCAAAGAGAGGTGCTGAGGCAGATGCATGAGCCTAGGAAGTGCGACCAAATTCTGCATTTGAACATCCTTTAGACAAAGAGGTAGATAAATCAAATTGAGAGGAAAGGTGAGGTAAAACCAAAAATCAGCTACTTCTATGGGGTTACTCATCCATGAAACTCACTAGCAAAGGTTTCTGGTTTCTCTGCTGGCAAATTTAAAAAAAAAGAGAGAGAGAGAGAAAATAAACCCTTTGAAATGTGGAAACCTGTTCAACTGACACAATGGCATCATTGAGAATTTACCAATTTGTGAGCTGCAGCACAGCGTTTGTAAAACCGCTTCAGCCTGAGTTACCTTTCGCCAGCTCTCTAAGTCTACTCACTGGGTCACTAGGAGTGAACAAGAACATTTTGATAAATTCTGTTTCCATGACGATGAATTAACCAGTGAAAAGGGGGAGGTGTTGAAAGATCTGTATTCTGTAGAATACTCTCAAATGTTTGCCTGTTTTCATTTTTAGCCATTTAGTTCTCTTGGCTCGATTCCAGGACTCTTTAATTTGCCAGTAGCTGTTTTTCCTACACAGATTACGGGAGTAATTCATCAGTGAACGTTTCACTCAGTGGTCCCATCTAATGGAAGGAAACATAAAAATGAATTTTTCCAATTATGCCTTTTTGTTTGTTTAGAAAAATGGGGTAAGCTTATTTTCCTTTTTTTTTCTCACAATCTAGGTTTTGTGTTCTTATTCTTCCTTATTTATTGACCATTACCTTACGCAGACTACAACTGCAATTTGTAAAATGTTGGGATCTGCTTTTAAATACCAATAAATTCTTGAAAGGCAATGATTTTGGAATTTAGTGTACTGAAACCCCAGAGGGGGATGTAAAAAGAAAATAGAACATTAAAACATGTAGGCCAAGTACATGTTACAATAAAACAAAGTGTTTAGGAAAAAAAAATTAAAAGCCATAGAGCTATTCCTCTACTAAATTACTTTAAACTGGCTTATTTATATACAATGGAACACATTTGTGCTATTTCAATATTTATCTATTTCCTGAATTTAATGATAAAACTACTGTTTTTGTGGAAGTAAAAAAAGTAGTTCTGATGGTTTTGTTTTATAAATGATGAAAATAGCAGGAGGAATTTATTCATCTGCATCAGGAAAAATTGGATATGCAACTGGTTTTCTGAAGTATGAAGTAAGAATATTATCTCCTCAAAAGATATATTTCCAATCTAGCTTTAGTTTGTATCACAGTAACTAATTTAGTTCATTTAAAAAACTGATTATTTTCCTGTTTTCACCTAAAATAAGAAAGATAACCAGTTTTCCACTCACAATTGTTTATCCCACCTTTGTACTGACACAAATTTAAAGGATAATGATATTCTTTCCCAAATTCATTTATCCTTTGCTCAAAACAGAAAGAAATCTGCCTGGAAGATATTCTGAACCATCAACCATTAACAAATTCAACAGATTTTATCCTTGTCTAAAGCTGAAAGTATAAAGAATCATGAAATTCATAGGAAGAAAAAAATCTAATATTTATTATGCAAAGCTCTGCCAATCAGAAGTACTTTTTAAAATTTTTCAATAAATAGTAATGCAATAATATGTTTTTCTGTTAAGAACAGCTCTTCGGGGTCATATTTGCTCTTGGAGCTTAATTTCCCTACCAAGAACAGAGAGAACTTTTACGTTGAAAAGAATATGGTAATTTCCTTTTCCTCCCTCTTTAACACAGATGCACAAAATATTATTAATATTAGTGAATTTCAGAAAATGCACATGATTGGAAATCAAAGTAATTGTTTTGATGAATCAACTCTAGTTATTTTGCAGAAGACATCTATAAATCTTAGGAAACAGTGTCATTCTAAAATCAGTGTGTTGTTAGCTCTGCATCTGATCATCTTGATTTAAAATAGCAAGGGCAATAGTGTCAGTTGACTGAATATGGACAAGGGGAAGGCTAATGAATTCTTTTGTTCACCTGCCATATGTAGTTCCTTCTGCTTCTTGTGGGTAATGTGTGTGGACCCTGTTAACAACACCATGTTTCCCTTCCTAGACCTCAGACTGTTAGCAGGTAACCGGCAATCAGTTCACATTGCTGTTAATAGTGTGAGATCTCTCGGCCAGCTGTTGTCTAGGAAATCAACATGGCATTGCCCAACCCAAGAGGCAGCTGCCTTCACACCAATGTGACCCACAGTTGGCACCAGGCAGTTCAGGAGTCAGCTTGTTAATGCTAATGTCTCCAGTGAGATATGGATAAACAGCATCTCTCTCAGTCCTGTAGATTGAAAGTGTCACAAAAACACTGTCAAGCTCAGTGGCTGATCATTAAAAATGAGTACAAATGAGAGGAATAATGGCTTGTTGATCCACCTGAGTCAAGTTTGACATCCTTATGACATTATCTATGATTGTATAGATGTCTTTCAGTTCTTAGTGAGAGAGATTTTTGACAAAGAAAATAATCATGAAACTTCCAAGTTTTTGATTAGGATTGAACAATAATGAAACATACTAAAAACTCCAACAGTTTTATTTAGTAATACACAGTAAATGATGTACTCAACAATTATTGCATATGCCAGAGAACATTTATTACCTAAAATTGTTTTCAACACTAACAGGACATCTCATAAATATTCAGAAAAATGACATTTTAAAAGGCTTGTTACTTTGTGTGCATACATGATACACATACAAATACATAATACATCTCATAAAATGGTAACATTTAAAGCACATGGTAATGGATATAGAGAGTCATACAGCAATATAATCATTAATAAGAATTGAATCATTTTCATGTAAAATAGTGAGGAAAATAGAGTCAAGTTGACTGGATATGTGTAAGGGAAGACTATTGACTTCTTTCTGGAGCTGAAGAACAGGTGTCTTCTAATCTTTTCTTTCTGTTTCTAAAAAGCTTTGTGAATTTTTTTAATGTATGGTATTTTATTCACTGAGACTTTATTGTTTACATAAATCTTTCACTGATCCTTTTAGTAAATCCAGAAATATTTTTCTAATATAAGAATCTATCCTGTTTATACTCATGATTTCTAAATATAAACACTTTCAAAGCACATATCTATATTTGTTAGAAGTTTTTCTCCACTCTTTCCCCTAAGGCAATGCTAAGAGGCATTGATTCATGGACAGCATGTTGGAGCAAAGAAATCTGATCAAGAATACTAGTCTAGAATGCAACATCCTACTTTCTTATTCAAAATCTAAGTCCACTGACCACACATTCCCCCTCTTGCCCCAGAGGTTTATTCCAATATCCAGTTTGACAAGGCAAAATCTCTGCCACAAGCAAAGAAAACATCTGATATTTTTACAGAGGGTTGTTACATGAACAAAGTAATAGTCTTATACTTAACTTATGAGTCAGGACTAACTTCCATCTGTAAATCACAAAACATTTTAACTGCACTGAGAGATCATTATTTTAATAAGTCCCTTCAATGAAGTAGATTAAGTTCTCTCAGTGAGTTAGCTGATATATTCACTCAACAAACATTTATGAAGTATTGGCTATGTCTTTTTCTCCAAAAGATTTGGCTTTGTATATTCAGAAGTATATAAAGAAAGCAACATAGAAAATTTACTTATTATAAAGTAATACAAAAGCATAATGATAAAAAGGCACCCCTAAATAATTGTATTGGAGGACTGTAGAAGAGAGTTAATGGGGAGAGAGTATTAAGATTTATCAAAAATATTCTGAATGAGATCATTAGATGTTTCACATGAAAGAAGTAACAGAGCAGAGTCTGAAAAGTAAAAATCAACTGACTAGGTATAAAGAATCACAAACAAAACAGGGATTTAGCCTAGAAATTAAGATGCCTGCATCCTATATTGGAGTACCTGGATTCAGTTACTGGTTTTGGCTCTTTAGTCCAGTCTCCAGCAAATTTGCACCATAAGAAGCGACAGATAATGGTTGCAGTTGTTAGTCTTGCCACCCACATGGATCACCTAGATTAAGTTCTCTACTCCTAGCTTCAGCCCCAGCTGAGTCCCAGCCACTGCAGGCATTTGGAGAGTAAATCAATGAATACAAATACTTTCTCTCTCTCTCTCTCTCTCTCTCTGGCACTATCTGCTTCTCAAATTTTTAAATTTTTTTAAATGAAAAGTCACAAGAGCTTAGTGTTGCTTGGGTGAAAAGTTTAAAACAAACAGCAGGATAAAGCAGAAAGATAATACAGAACCACATCAAGTAAAATTTTGGGTTATTGTTAACTTGAAAATGATCCTGATTCCAAGGACCATTTAAGAAGTGATGGCAGCCATTTTGATGAGAGATAATGACAGTGACAGTAAATATACAGAGAAAAGAGGGATTGAAAATGTTTAGAAAGTATATTTATCAGAAATTGGTGATTGGTTGAGCACAGAGAAAAAAATTGCAAAAATTCTATACATGTGTAAGTTTTGGTCTAAGCTTTTGGGTAGATGGTGGTGCCACCAACAGAGGAAAAACAGACAATGTAGGAGGAGCGTGTTGAAACAGAAGTGTCTATACAGCCATCCTGTAGAGATGTCCAGTTAGTTATTTAATAGATGAGTCTAAATCTCAATGCACAGCACTATATTAAAGACATAGACTTGGAATCCACTAGTAAATGATGGCAACCTGAAACAATGAGACCGTATAACATTGCTCAAAGAATAGAGAAAATGAGGTCAGTTGCGAATTGAGGATGCAGCATTTTAGGGCAATTATTTAAATGATCACCATAAGAAAAGTAGCCCAGAAAGGAAACAGAAAAGAGTTGACCAGAGATAGGAGAGGAACAAATGACATATTAAAATCATGGAGCCACAGAAGTGAAAATAGTAGCAGAGAGGTCCAATAATATAAAGTATAAAAATATCCATTAATTTCCTTCTTTTCCTCCTACCTCAATACAAATCTGCATCATTGCAACTAGAAAGAACCATGTGAAATAATGCATGTGTTAATTAGCTTGATTGGGCCATTCTACTACATATACGTAATTCAAAGCATCATGTTATACATTATAAATTTGTACAATTTTTATCTCTCAAATTACTTTAAAAATAGAGAGAATTTAGAAACCTAAGGTCAGGAAAATTCTAGTTCCACAAGTTCACATTAAAAGCTGTACTGGCTGGCGCCGCGGCTCACTAGGCTAATCCTCTGCCTTGCGGCGCCGGCACACCGGGTTCTAGTCCCGGTCGGGGTGCTGGATTCTGTCCCGGTTGCCCCTCTACCCGGCCAGCTCTCTGCTGTGGCCCGGGAGTGCAGTGGAGGATGGCCCAAGTACTTGGGCCCTGCACTCCATGGGAGACCAGGATAGGTACCTGGCTCCTGCCATCGGATCAGCGCGGTGCACCGGCCGCAGCGC